ATTCTCCCGGAGACACGTGCCGCACATAAACAAAAAATTATTGGTACTATGCGTCACAGACCCTGGGAGGCATGTGTGAATGCCATTCGTTTCAACTTTTTGGTGCTTGTCGCTATATATATTCACTTACTTACTAAAATGTCGGAAGGAGCAAGATATATGGTTGATAAAGTAAAACAAAAGGTGATAGAAGTTGCAAAAGAGCAAACAATCAGTGATCATAAAAACTGTGGAGAGAGTTCTGAAACAAATACTATTTTAAATAATTTACATGAAAATGCAGGGTTGATTGAAATTAATAAAAATCTTAATAATGAAAACGAACAACAGATGATACCAACAAAAATACGAAATGGATAACGAACAGGCTGATAAACTCGATAACGAGAATGAGCAGACAGCTACTCAATCTTCATCTGATGCCAACAGTATCGAAGATCCCTTTGACAGTGACCATTCATTGCTAGATAAAAGTTATTTTTTCCTAAATCTTCTTTATCCTCCGATTTAAATTCTTCTATTGATAGTGATGACGAAATTATTACTACACCATCTGAGCAAGTTCCATCAGATAATAATGAACAGAGTGCTGAGAATAGTGATAGTGATGAATGGTGTGATTTAGAAGAAGATGTAGATGGTGACGATTTTATAGTAAGAGAGAATACATTAATTGGTATTTAACTACATGCGGTACAAAAACCAATAGACGTTTTTAGTCATTTTGATGAAATATTGGATATTATTGTTAATGAAACCAACATTTATGCTGTTTAACAATTAAGTATGCGACACTTAAGAAAATCTAGGTTAAATTTATGGACAGCCACAAACAAAACTGAAATAAGAGCCGTCATAGGGGTAATAATCGCAATGGGTCTCACTCAGGTACCACATTTAAATTTATATTGGTATAATAAAGATGATACGTTTTATAATAAATTTATCACAAAAGTTTTAACTCGAGACCACTAATAGATTATGTAAAATAGAAAATTTTGTTACGAAGTTGATTCTTAATTTACAAAGAATAATAGAGCCTGGCAACATTCTCGTTATAGATTAATCTTTGGTACCTGTCAGAGGGAGACTCCATTTTCATCCGTTTATCCCCATAAGACTCATAAATATGAAGTGAGACTATACAAACTTTGTTATCCTAGAGGCCATACTTTCAATGTAAGTATTTTCAAAGGAAAAAATGAACAGCAACCAGTTAATGTAGCACACTGTGAAGCAGTTGTTCTAAAATAACTTCAGTGTTTCACAGATAAAGCTGTCAAAATATTATTTGCCGATATCTTTTATTTAGGAATACCTCTCGTATTGTTAGTAGAAACTATGATGTACTGTGGGACTCTAAGAGGAAACAGAAAAGGAATACCACCTATTTTTAAACAGTCCAAGAAGATAAAGCCAACAGAGGTAATTGGAAAAAAGAAAGATGGACTAAGAATTATTAAATGGAAGGATAAGATACCTGTGTTAATGATTTCAAGTGTCCCAGCTCATACTAAACAGTTGATTCCAAAAGGAAAGCAGAATCGACAAAAAGAGGAGATTGTGAAACCGAAATGTTAATTGACTCAAGTCTGCAAAGAAAGGCGTAGACCAGTCTAACCAGATGTCATCTTACCATACAGTGCTACGTCGAACAATCTGAATTCTTTGATATTTTGGAGCCACTAGAAATTAATATTCCTGTATACAGTGGAAATTTATTGTTAAGTAAAAATATATTAATGGTTTGCATATCAAATCTGTCAGATTTTATGGAAATATATACCGGTGCATCAAAACAAAATAATGGTACGGGATGTGCATTCTATATACCATCAACAAATGTCCAAAAAAGAATTAAACTAAATAATAATACTTCCATTTTTTTTCCTTAAGCTATTGGTATTATTAAAGCCTGCAAATATATCGACAAAAAAAGCAGTTAAAAAAATATACTTTTTCCTGACTCCTTATCTGTTTTTAAATGCATCGCTAACCCAATTAATGTGATGGCTACGGATATATTTTAGGGAATTAAAAGTAAGAATTTAAAAACTAAAAAATGTCAATACAAATTAAAATTCACTTGGGTAAAAGCTCATATAGGACTTCGTAGCAATGAAGTTGCAGATTTCTCAGCCAAAGAAAGCATTACAAGTGGTCAGCAGATCAAAAACAATTTAGGTGCTCCAGGATTAGAAGAATTTAGAATTGCATTTAAAAAACTATTGCTCTAATAACCCCACACGATACACACTATCACATCCAATTATTCCGACAGTTTTGTGGCACCAAGATTATGATTTTACGAAAAATGATATTGTGACCATTTGTAGGCTGAAATTCGGACATGCATGCTTCCCTCAACACTTATATAAAATTGGTGTAGTCAACAGCGAACCTTGTGAAACTTGCAATATGGTTTGCGACTTGAATCACATTGTTTTTGCTTGCAGTAAATTTGATATACAAAGAACTTCTTTTTGAGAACGATTTCCGAAGTGGAAATTGAAACGTCAATAAACGTATTTTTATCTTTAATTGTGACTTATTCCCAGTTTAACAGTAATTAATTTAAAACTTTAGTGTAGGTGTTAAGCTTCTTAACTTTGTTGAATAGATATATATTTTACCATTTTGTCTCTACTTTCCATGTAACGACTATTTTGCTTACTTCAGGGTAAGAACATAGGGGAGAATATTGGGCAAACAAAATAATCGGAACTAGTGCGTACGGCACTCAGTTGGTTGTTGGAGAGCTGGTGTCACGAATATTTATTATTTGTATAAAATGTATTTAGTTAATTTTTAGATCTATCATGTTACCCAAAATTTCCCGTTGCTACTGTTCTATAAACTATGTCAAATATAATATCAAAACGTCAGAAAACAAACTGTCACCGATTAGGGAAAATTTTAAATAATTTAATAATTTAGCAGACAGCAAGAGAACAGAATTTGAGCTTGTTGGGAATTTATCTTTATTGAACAGCCAGCAATTGACGGATTTGTAGTTTACTGTTTTTATTTTTACGCAAATAAAAACAGTAAACTACAAATCAAAAGATTAAAAATCAGTAAATGTGGTTAGTATTTTACAAAAAATTATGATAAATAAAAATTAAGTAGTAATGTAAACAGATTATGGAATTATAGATGATCACATATTAATAGAACTACCGATAGACAGACCAAGAAGTAGTAAACAAAATAACGAAGTAAGTATAGCAATAGCTAAAAAATAACGACTGCAATGAAAGTGCAGAGAATACGATATTTATGACACATCGAAGGAATGAAACAAGAAATATGTCAAAAATGGTATTCTCGACTCATCCAATGCAAAAGAAAAGCGAAGGTAGGCAAAATGGGGTACAAGAGCAGAGTATAAAAGATTGACAAATAAGTAACATTGAGAAATAAAAGTAAAAACTGTTTGAAAACATTGGAAAAGTGGAACATTAAATTTGAATATCAAAAATTAATACTAAATGCATTGAAACTCCATACCTGTTGCTTCAGCAGTCTTATTTTTTACCATTAGCAGAGTAATATGCTAGTATATTTTCACTTTTCATATTTTTAAAATAATTATACACACTAAATATTATTTGACGACCCTGCTCTTTAATAACACTACGTTTCTTTCCGACCATTTTTAGCAAGATTGTTCTCAATTGCACTGCTGCGCTACTGAGTATTGAAATGATTTACTGCTAAGGCGTGGCTTAGGTAGAAATCTCAAATTTTGACCACTGCCCAATGCGATAATATGCAAATTAGATGCCTTCCTAAATGACGAGATCTCTACCTATACTGCCAATACTCTAACGTTGTAACTTATACAATGTTGGAGTATAGTAGATGGATAGTGGAGCGAAACAGAATGTATGGAGAAATATTAATGAACCATGTGACTATGAGAAAGATGAGAACACCAGTTGGACCAACGACAGTTATAATATATACATAAGAGAAGGGAGTGTTGCGAAAGTGTCGAAAGTCAACTGCGCACAAATACGAGAGGGTGAATTTAGTTGATAGGCAGGATAACAGGAAGGCATAGTTTGCAGGACCTACTTTACTACGGTTTTTATAAATTTCCACGCTCAGAAAAGAAAAAAAAGGTTAGGTTTTATCTATCTATCTATCTAATTAGCCATAAACGCCCACTCTTGGGCATAAGCCTCCCCTGTTAATCTCCATTGGTCTTTATTTTAGGCGATCTGCATCCAGTCCTTTCCTGACGTTCTTTTAAGATCGTTAGTCCATCTCATCTGTGGTCTTCCTCTTTTTCTTTTCTTTTGCCATGGTCTCCAGTGTAGAATTCGCTTGTTCCTTCGTTCATCTTTTTGCCGGAGAGTGTGACCGGCGAAGTTCCATTTAAGTTTTGCAACCTGTCTCGATACATCGTTCACCTTTGTTTTTCGTTTCCTGTCTTTAAGACCGATACCCAGCATCTGTCTTTCCATTGCTCTTTGTGTTTTGGATATCCTGTCGATGTTCTCCTTTGTGTAAGTCCATGTTTGTGAGCCATATGTGATAACTGGTAAAATGCACTGGTTGAATACTTTCGTTCGCGTATATTGAGGGAACTTTTTATTTTTTACAATATATGATAGTTTACTAAATGAGGTCCATGCTAGTCTAGTTCTTCTTTTTATTTCTTCTGTTTGATTGTCCCTGTTCAGCTTTATTATCTGTCCTAGGTATATGTATTCTGCCACCTGCTCTAATTTATTATGTTTGACTACTACTTCTAATTGGTCTTCTTGGTTTTAGGTTTTATATTAGAGATAAAACAATATATAAGTTAAGTTAGGAATTTTACTGAAATTAATTTTAAAATAAAAATGACATATAAAGTAAAGTCCCAAATTAAAATAACAGTTTAGCAACAGCTAGAACAATCAATTTAGTATACTTAAATATTAATATAAAAGTTGATATTATTGTCCAAAGGTTATATTTTAGCTAATTAATACTATTTTATTTTACAGTCCGACATTTTCCAACAACAGGCTGCTATTATGGCAGCAGCAACCGCACAAGGAACATACATTAATCCAATGGCTGCGATAGCAACTCAACTTCCCCATCCACCGATAAATGGAATGGCGAATTCTGCATTGCCGCCAACATCAGGTAAGAGAACTTCATGGATTATGGAGGAAATAACTCCAATTTATTATGGAGGTAATACATAAAAAATATAATACATTTTTTTGTCATTTTTTTTATAATTTCGATGTTTATTTTAATCGCTTTATGTAACGTAATAGTTCAAATGTCACATGTGTTTCTGATTTTTCTTATTATTTTCTATTTTTTTCTTAGAATACTGTATTTTGTTAGGACTCGCAGCAGTCTACTAGTGTTTTTGTATTTTTAGATATTTTGCTTTTTTTCTTTTAAATTTGAAAAAATTTTTAATCTATAGTCGTAACGCACATCCAGATGCAAAGCTTTAATTAAATAGAGCTTAAGTTGAAAAAGTTCACAAAAATACATATTTGGGAATAGCCTTAACGGACTAACCAGATCCAGACTTAGAAATAAAACGCAAAATAGCAATAACTAAAACTACTTTTATGAAAATGAAGGTACGTTTCTTTGCAATAAAGATCTTAAATTAGAACTAAAACACAGAATGGTTAAGTGCTATATTTGGTCTGTACTTTTAAATGGACACTAAAAGGACACTAAAAGAATTAACAAAGATAAAGAGATTAAACAATTTAAAGTTTGGCAATCTAAAGACTGCTAAACACAGGAAAATGTTTTATCTGAGACATATAGTGAAGGGAAATCGATATAAAATACTACACACGATATTTAAGTACCTTTAACTAGATAGCCGTATAGGTGTAGAAAGAAAACAGGTTTCTTGGTTAACTCTTTTTCTTCGGATGTCTATCCGTTCCGAACATTGGCGATCATTCTGGCTATGATGACTTTGTTGGTGGCTATACGGAATAGCTGTGTTGAGGTTTTTCTACATCATGCTCTCAGGTTAGCAAGCCAGGATATTTTTCTTCGTCCTGGGGCCCTTTTCTTTACCTTGCAAAATGCATTGGAGTAGCTCGCATCTGCCTTGATTTCTCAATATATATCCCAAGTACTGCAGCTTACCGTCCTTTATTATCTTGACCAAATCCTCGGTTATGTTCCTCCGCAGTAATTCTTCATAAGTGACTTTGTCTGTCCACGGTATCTTCAGAATCCTTCTGTATTACCATATGTCCACCTTTCTACTCTGTACAGCTATTGAAAAGGTCATAGCTATTAAAAACGTCAAGAATCAACTTTTTGTCTTTCTGATGCGACATTTATTCTCTTGGGTATTGTCCAACGACTCATTGCTTATAGTTCCCAAGTAGTTGTACTGTGGGACACGTTCAATTCTCATGTAGTTCACATACAGATTTGCTCTAGTTATGTTTTCCTTGCTGATAATGATTAACTTAGTTTTTCTGGTGTTTATATCCAGTCGTCCATATGTTCTACTTGTTTCCGTTATTTTGTGTATTAAGTTTTGCAGCCCTTCTATGGTATTGAAAAATACTAGTGTGTCATACGCACACCGCAGGTTATTGAGCTTGACTCCATTTATTGAGATGCCTTTATCAGTATCTTTTAGAGCCTCTTCAAAAATGTGCTCCAAGTACAGACTGAATATCAATGGTAAAATTATGCACTCCTGTCTCACTCCCCTTAAGATTTTCACCTGATTGGTATATTCTGTATATTCTATCTATTCGGAGCATCGCTGATTGATTCCAATACAGGTTAGCTAATATTTTTATGTCTCTTCCGTCAATCCCTGTCCTCTTTAGCACTTTCATTAATTGTTCATGCCTGACTATCGAAAGCCTTCTTGTAGTCAATAAGGCATGCAAACCCATTATAGCTGACATCCCCTACATTTTTAAAACAATACCTGGACGCTAAATAAAGCTTCCCTCGTACCAACGGCGTTCACAAATACAAACCGGTTGGGGACAATTTGTTCATCGCATTTCCGGTAAATTGCACTGTTAAAACCAGTTTCAGCAGATAGCTCATTAGACTTATGGTCTTATATTCTTCACAAACTTTTGCTGTTGGGTTTTTGGGCAATGGTACGAACTTCGATTTGAGCCACTACTGGTATTTACTGCCTTGTATGTTTCATTAAATATTTCAGTTATTATTTTTATTTGTTCTGCATCTAATAGCTTGCAGCAATCTCATCAAGTCTCGGTGCCTTTCTATCCTTTATTTGTCTGACGACTGCCATCATTTCTTTTGGTAGGATTTCGGAACCTGAATTTTCTTCAATTGTGGGCTCTATTGGTGGGGCATTGTTCTAAAGTCATGGAAAAGTTTCTCCAAGTATTCTTGCCATACTTTCTTTTTATTTTCTTCGGTTATGGCAAGATTGCCTTCATCATCTGATATTTTGCCGCTGTTGCGTTTTCGGAACTTCCCAGCTATTTTATTCACCTTTCGATGAACATTGAACATTGATTATCATATCGACTCTGATACTCGTTCTGTTACATGTATGTCTGATACATTGTTTTGTTTTTTGTTTCTCTTTCTCTTCTCTTATTTTTCTTTTGACAATGGTATGTATTCTCTTATATTTTTGGAGATTTTCTTTGTTTTTTTTATCCATAAGTTCAAGTATTTCATCGGTCACCCAGGATTTCCGTTTCTCTGTATCTTTCTTCAGGTATTGTTCTTTTATTTCTCCCACTGTTTCTCGTATGATGGTCAGACTTTCCTCTATAGTTCCTGTATTTATGCATTTTAGCACCTTTGTATTGAGGCTTTCACTCAACTTCAGTCGAACATGGGGATCTTTCAGTTTTCTAACATCATACATCGTCATCGACTTACTTGTAACCTTATTCATTTTGACTTTGAAATGACCTACAACTGATATATGATCAGAGTTGATGTCTGCTCCCGGGTATGTTTTGACAGATGTACAGCTGTTCCTATAACTCTTATTTACTAGAATGTAATCAATCTGATTTCTTACAATCCTTCTGATTTCCAGATGTACAGTTTCCTTGTGTGTAGCTTAAACCAGGTGTTCATTATTAGTAATTGATTTGCTTCCACAAAAATTTCCAATGTATTTCCCCGATCGTTTCCCCGTTTGATGGCCCCAACTTTGGCATTGAAGTCACCCACGACAATTGTTAGGTGTTACGTTTTCAACTTTTTCACGACTTAATTAATACTATGGTATAATTCTTCTATCTCTTCTTCTGGGTCTTCTGTTGTAGGTGCATACACTTAAATTATATTGATGTTGACTGGTCTTGCTTTTAGTTGTATGAGCATCACTCTTGCTGAGATTGGGATGAAGTTGACAACAGATTTTACCTTTGGTTAAATAACATTCGTCAATTTACTCAGATTAAATGCGGGACAATTATTTTATCTGGCAGAAGATTGAAAAGCCCTCGCAATGGTGATTGCCAACGTAAAATAATTCCGATAATGCATATGAAGAAAAATAAACCGAAAAACAGCTTATCTTAAATACGTCATTAGGCAAGAGGGATAGAACTACCTACAACTGATAATGAAAATGACTAAGGATGGACTAAACCCTGGTAGACTGGTAGCACTACATTGATTATGTATTATTCAGATTGTTGTTGATAACATTACTTCTCTAAATTTGCTTTTATTTTAAAATACGCAGCTTTTGAATCACCACAATAATGATTTATTCCGGTGATCAAAAGAAATAAAAGTTGTTTATTGTATACATATATGAGTATATGACTCATTTTTTAGAATAATATTGACATGCTCTAAGTCTTTGGCGAAGAAAATGTGCATGTATAAAATACAATGTTTACTGTTTCGTCACTATTAGAAATGGCCCACCTTTAACCCGTTACAATAAGTTCCTTATTTCGTACTGCCTATCTTTTTTGTACGCTGAGTATCTTATTTACTTATTTATTTACTAATTTATAAAATATTCAAACCAGCATTATGCTTGGTTAATATACCTATACTATATTATTTTGTTGCTTTAGGAATAGTTCTAATCCATTTCTGTACTTACTTTCAGATGTACCAGTGGGTCCTGTAGGTCCAGTAGGTCCTGGAAATGGCCAGCCAATCAATGGCACAATGCCAAGTTTACCATCCCCCACTATGCCAACATTTAATATGGCGGCACAAACTCCCAATGGGCAGCCTGCCGGGCAAGAGCCGCCAGTGTACACTAACGGAATCCCTCCTCCACAAACTTATCAAGCACGTAAGTATTTTTTAACATTCACAAATTAATCTGTAGTATATTCGAACCTTAATGTAGTGTAGAATACCCTTGTAAAATAAAGACCAGTTGAACAAAAAAACTTTTAGTGGAATATAAGGGGAAAGCCAGCAAGTACTACTTAGACATAAGCGAAAAAGAAATGAAATTTATGAAGACAAAAGGAAATAAGCATTATATAGTGCAGGATTGTACAAAATAGAATCGAAAGGATTTTAATTTTAAAATTGCTAGACAATTTTACTGTTTGGCGTTTGCATCGTCTGCACAGCCGATTATTTTAGATTGTTTTCTCCTATTTCATTCTTTTTACTTCTTACTCTTTTTATTATAATATCATCCATGATCAGGTTGAACATTCGAACACTCGGGAAATCAGCTTCAAGGGGGTCAGTTGGTTTTTCTTCTACTTTTACTTTTATTTTGTTGTTTTGGATAATATAATTGATCGCTTTTATTATTCCTAGAGGTATTTTTTGCGTTAAATAAGTGGATAACGTTCTTTATTTTGACCCTGTCAAATACCTTCTTAAAATAAACGACACAAAGATATGCTGGTTTGTTTTATTTTAATGATTTCTCTTTGACTTGCGTCATTATAAATATGGCGTCAGTAAATATCTTCCCTATCTAAAATCTAAATTTAATTTCGTTAATACTTCTTTACTTCTTACTTCTCAAAATTTATTCTTTCGTCTGTAATCACTTCTTGTATTGGTGGTTAATTATGGTAAACTTTAGCAAATATGAATCGAAAGCGGTCTGCCTATGTTACCTTCTAAATGTGTTCCGTTTTGTTAGTATTTTCTTTGTCCTCTGATTATTCTAAATATTCCTTTTTGTGTTTTGTAAAAGTCGTGTTCCATCTGTTTTGAGAAGCTCTACCATTGTTCCATTTTTATTTGTCTGACTAAAGTATTCGTTTTAGTTATGATTCGTTTTTAGTGGTTGTATGCCTTTTGTGTCCTGTACTGTAAAAAGCTTTCTTCTTTTCGTCACATTATGCCTTTACTTACTCTTTATACCATGTGGTTTCTTTTTTGATATGTTAGTTTTCATTACTTTTCTCTCTCCAAGTGATTCTGTTTCTGTATAAATTACGTTGTTTTTGAGTTTCTCCCAGCTTTCCTCGATGTTATTGTTTTTTAATATTTCATTTTCAACAATCTTGTCTGATATTCTTTTTCTGTATCAGTATTCCGTAGATTCTGTATTTAGTCCTTCGACTCTGATTTTTACTTGTATTGGCGCTGCTCTCTTGGGTGGATAGTTATTCATGATGATTCCACTTCTTGGGTGTAAAGTATTTCATGGCCAGTCTTAAAAAAAGGAATACTGCTCAAAAGAATAATGTATAGCCTCAGAAAGGGATGGATACTATGACGAACACAGCAATAATTTAGGACAAGTGAAAAATATCCAAAACCTAGATGAAAATTACATGGAATATCAAATCGCTCAACTCAAGGACCAAGGAATAACCCAAGTGCTGAAAGAGAAACAAATAGACATTTGCTAAGGAAGCAAAAAAGAAAAGAAAAAAGAAATCAAAATTAGGTGAATACATACTATCTACAGCGGAATACCAAAAAAAAACAGGGTCAAGGAAGGTGCAGCCTAACGAATACACCTAAGGTACCGAAATCATATCAATTACCATTAATACATATCAGAAAAGATTGTAAAAGCAAAGGTAAAAATGAAGAGGGAAGACCTGAACATCATTGGACTATACGGCTGAGAAAAGATCAAGCCTCAAGCAAACAGGCAAACGTTTTATAACGAATTACTGGTGGTAGATCATACAGAATTCCATATAGTGTCTTAGAAATAACTGTTAGAGAAAAGTAATAAATACTCCCAACTATTTTAACAATCTAAAAATTAGATTAACTCTGTCTTGCTATGAAGATGCACTGCAAACAAATAAATGTGTTAAGTAATGTCAGATTTCATAGTTTCGTTCACATCGAAATTTAGGTTTTCACATCGAAAGTAAATTAGGTTTATGAAATTTTGTAAAACCAATGTTAAACCAATGTACACCCAACCAAATTTATTTGGAATCTGGTCTTTCAAACCATTATTTATTTCTTTAAAAAAACTTGTCATTGTTGCGAAGAATAAAAGTTTTTATTAAAAATAAACAAACCAATAAAAAAATCAGATAACAGAACCCGGCCTGGTATAGATTTTTTTTATTTGTAAAATTTAACGAAACTAAATAAACTAACTTTCGCTTTCAAAAACGAAAATATGCCTAATGTGGGGTTAGTAGACGTTCAAAGGTAAAAGAATGTTGGTCTTGTGGAGCAAGAAAAGTCTCAGAGGAATATAACTGCAGTGGTAGGCATAACACAGAAAGTTGTGTCAAAAACCTATGCTAGGTATCAGGAGTTAGGAACGCTTAAGAACAGACCCAAGATAAAGTCGCCAAAAAGTAACAACGGCTTGCCACGATCGTTTTATTGTCCAAGTAGCTAGAAGAGACCCAACGGTTTCTTACCCGCAACTAAAAAACCAGATTTTGGAAGGTAAAAATGTAAGTGTTTTCTTTAAAACAATGAGAGGAGGACGTGCCCAAGGACTACAGAGCAGTAGACACGAGTTCCCGAGTTAACCAGGTGGCACAAGATTGAATTGTTGTGGTCAATACCAAAACTAGAACATTGGAAATTTACAAAATGTGCCATTTTCAGGCGAATTCGTGTACTTAGATGACGAGAAAGACAACCAAGAACGGAAACAGCCAGATCTGTCCACATACATAAAGAAGGCAGTGCTATATTCTAGAACTAATATGGTCGGTGAAAAAACTCCTTTAATTTTAATACAGTCAACTTTAATACCTCGCAGGTATGTTGATCTGATTGTAGAACCTGTAGTTAGATTCTGAAAAAGTGCAGTGGGAAAAAGTTTAATTTTCATGCATGACAATGCACCTCCACATACCAGCAGAGTCACTACAAACTTCCTTGAAGCAGAAGATATTACTATTTGGTAATGGCCTGCTTGCTCACCCGATCTCAACCCTATAGAGCATTTGCTGGATATGCTTAAATAAAGAATTAGACCTCGTCAGGATAATCCACAAAACACCGTAGAGCTAGTACCAGCTGCTCTTAAAGAAAGGAAACAACCTACCAAAGTAAAATATTGACAATTTGTTTAGGAGCATGCCCACCCGAATTGGAGTTTGCATTGAAGCAAAACATAAATAAAGAAAAAAATTTAAATATCATATATTTTACATTGAAATTTTGTATGCTATTGACTTGAAAACAAATAATTTCAATTTTATTATTTAAAAATTTATGGGTTTCTTTAATTTTGATATATTGATGATTAAATTGCTGGCGCAAATGTACCAACAGATCACAATATTTTAGTAGGAACAATAAGACTGAGATTAAAAAGAGTTGCAAGGACGAATAAGCAAACAGTTACTATTGATAGAGAAACGATGCTAAATGATACTGTAACACAAAAAATAACTAGTATATTAGAACAAAAATGAAGTTAACATCAAGCGAAGAAGAAAGTACTGAGGAAAACTGGACGAGAATTAAAGACATCTTAAAGACTGTTCAAGAAACAAAATTGAGTGCGCTAAAATCAAGAAAAAAACAAGGGTGGATGACAGAAGAAATACTGAGACTTATGGATCAAAGAAGAGAAGTCAGAAATAAAGATAAAAACGAATACAAGAGGATCCAGGCAATAATCAGGCAGAAGATAAGACACGCGAAAACACAATTTCATAGTAAAGAATGTAATGAAATTGAACAATATGAAAGAAACACGATACATTTCATCTGCACAAGAAATTAAAAGAGGTCGCTGGAAACAAACGGAAACAAGTATCCCAAAGTTTAGAAGACAGAAACGGACACAGAATATTAGATCAAATCAATGAAAAGTTAAAAGAATGGGAAAACTACATTTCTGAATAATTTGAAGATGAAAGAACAGAACACTATACACCGATTGCTATATCAGGTCCATCTATCACAGAAAGTGAGGTAAGACGTTCAATAAAAACGGCAAAAAATGGAAAAGCACTTGGCCCCGATGAAGTAAGTGCTGAAATACTAAAGTTTTTGGGAGAAAATGGAATTAAAGCTCTGTGTAATCTCTTTAACAGAATGACTGTGTAATCTCTTTATGACACTCGAATATTACCAACTAATTGGTTAAAGTGACATTTGTCACAATACCTAAGTAACATCGTCCAAAGACATGCGGTGATTATCGGACAATAAGCCTGATGAGTCACGTTTTGAAAATCTTTCTGCGAGTAATACACAGCAGAATTTACACGCTGTTAGAGGACAGAGTTAGCCATACTCAATTTGGGTTTAGGAGTGGCTTGTGTACAAGAGAAGCCTTGTTTAATATACAGGTGCTAGTACAGGGATGCAGAGATATAAATCAAAATGTGTACATTTGTGCAATCGATTTTGAAAAAGCTTTTGACAAAGTCCAACATAACAAAATGTTAGAAATATTGGAAACAGCTGGATTGGACGATAGAAATCTACAAATAATTTCAAATCTTTACTGGCATCAAGTGGCAAGAATAAAGGTTGAACAAGAACTGTCGGATGAAATAAATATAAAAAGAGGAGTGAGACAAGGCTGTATATGGTCGCCTTTACTTTTTAACTTATATTCGGAGGAAATATTTAAGGAAACCTTAATGGATACAACCGAAGGTATTATTGTGAATGGAGTAACCGTCAACAATATTAGATATGCCGACGATACCTTAGTCCTTCTCAACGTTAAGAAAACTAAATATATGATTGTTAGCAAACAAAATTATATACAGGATGACGGTATAAAAGTCGGAGATGCCACACTGGACAGAGTAGAGAAACTCGTGTATCCGGCAGTAATATCAATGAGAGCTGGGATCCAACCGCAGAAGTTAAAAGCCGAATAGAACAAGCCCGAGCTGCCTTTGTAAAAATAAGAAACGTACTTTGTAGTCACGATCTTAGCATTGACCTTGGAGTTTGTATGACATCTTGCGACATCTTTCCTGTCCTGCTGTATGGAGTGGAAGCGTGGACTCATGCTTAAACGCTTGACAGCCTTTGAGATGTGGTTATACAGACGACTACTGAAAATAAGTTGGGTCGACAGAGTTAGAAATGAGGAGGTCCTTAGACGTCTTGAGTCAAACAACACAACTGGTCAGTATAATAAAAAAACGCAGGCTGGAATACTTCGTTCATATTATGAGACACCCTAAAAAATATGATCTTTTACATCTGATCATTCAGGGAAAGATCCAAGGTAATCGTGGTCCTGGTAGACGAAGAACATCATGGCTGAAAATTCTAAGGCAATGGTATGGAAAATCAACTACATCGTTATTTAGAGCTGCTGCTGCAACGATCCATAACGGTCATGGAACTAGAAGATGAAGAAGATTAAATTGCTTTAAAATAAATATTCTTTGACTTCTTAGGTTGGTTTTTAATCCGCTTAAAATAATAAGAAATATCAGATGATTCCATATAAGTTTGGTTTTGTGCAGGCATGAAGTTCGCGTATATAGGCATATTAGAAATATTTTTATTATTTAAATATTTTTAACCTAATAGAAATGTAGAAAAATATTAATTAATGCCTTTTATAGACGCGCTACATCTGTCCATACCTGCACAAGGCTTGCCGAATGGTGAGGCTGCGCTACAGCATCCCGCATATCCAGGTATGCAGCCGGCGTATCCAGGTGTTGGTGAGTGTTAATTTTTTTTATATTAATGTTAAATACATGCCATATTGTCTTTTTGAGAGAATGTCTCATATGGTTTAAAACAATAAAATAAATGTTAGTAAAGTATTAGAAATTTCCAAATATACTTCAAAACTAATTGCCTTGTAGCAGTCAACGAAATTAATTTAAATTAAAATCGTTTTCTAATATGAACACATCGTTTTCCTCTTGATTTCGTATTTTGAATTAATATTCACTTTCTCCCTCACTTTGAAGCATGAAATATTTTGTTTTCAGAAAAATATCTATTTGAAAACGATGTTAGAGACTGAAAGAATGACAAGGAACCCTTCTTTGCTCTTAAATATTCTTCCAGATAAACAAAAAAAAAAACATATACTTAATTCTGAACAAAGTGAAACTTGAAATTTCTTTTTTATTTTTTATAGTTTATTTAAAGTAAATTTTTCATTTCGAAAATCATTTAGTACATTGTTCATAAACAATAATTTAACTGTTTTTCATTTAGGAACAATCAAGAATTACCATCTTAGTTCTTAAAACTCCGATGTAAACTTTTTATACTACTCTGTTTCATATTTTATCTATACTTACGATTTTTCTAATGCTTTCTAGCATTTTTTACACCATTGTTGTTTTATTTTTATATCCCCCTTCTCCATGTTTATATACGTTTTCTTCTCTTTTTCTTATCTCTTTCTGAACCTTATTTTTACCTCCAGCACCAACATTTTGGTGATCTACCTTCTAGTCTACGTCTCTTTGGAATTTAAATATTAGTCTATCTTGCCATCTTTTTTCTGTAATCCTGTCAATATGATATCTACAAGATATTCATTCGCATTAACCTTTTCTATTTGTTTTAAACGTTTTAACGTTTGGAATTTCTTTCCTCGTGTAGCTGTAGCTTCATCCGTGGTTATTATTAGTTGTTGCCCGGAAAAAAACTCTTCATGGTCTTCTAACTCTATTGCCACAAATTGGTTACATTGCTTCTGTAGTGATCCTTTCCTAAGTTAACATGCTCCTTGCATAACTTGGCTCACCGTACTAATAACAACCAAATCAGAAATACGTATTTATGGTTGCCTTCCATCGATATAATCTATTTTGTTTTTTGTTTTTCTGTTTGTGAGACATGCCATTACATTTTACCTTTATTATTCACAATACTTAGTTGTAGCCTCTTTATGCATATGTATGTTTAGCTCATGTACCCTTTTGGAATCAAACATGTCCATCAAGGGTGATTTTGTGAGCATAAATCGTAATACGAGTTAATTTAAAGTGTTCTAAACTCGCTGTAGTTTATGCCATTTGTGTTTCATTTTTTATTTACAGTCTTTATTAACATAATAAAATATTTCGTGCTGAACCTTTTTCGCCGGTGCCCTTGCAGGTACCCTTGCAGTACAGGTAGCTACAAGATAATAAAATTAATATACAGAGTGGCCCAAAAGTCTGGAAACGGCCAATTATCTCGTAACTTGCTAGTCATAATTGTACAAAACTTGAGGCACACCTATTTTGGGATACGGAGATTCCATATTTGATATTTGCAATGTTGCCAGATTTGCCGTTTCTCTTATATTATTAGTAACTTTGGTTTTTCAAATTCATTACCCTGTATATTTAGTCATTATTGGAATCCCCCATTCAATACGAGTTCAACCATATGTAAAACTCATGATTTTATATAGTCTGGAAGGTCTTAAATACATAAAACAGAAGTCCGGAAACGCCTAATTGTCTCAATAATTTTTTTATTACTAACTATTTTCAACTACATTAAAACGTAACAATTAATAGATTACAACATTTTTTAACATAATGGTTACTTTATTTTGTATACCATTTCTGAGTAGACAGTACCCTAATCGATGGTAGAATACGTCTACCGCATTTCTCCAGGATTGTTTACAAATTATTCGAGATTCATCGATAATTCGTTGCCTTGCATCTGCAAGACTTGCTGGTTTAGTTTTGTGAACTAGATTTTTTAAGTATTTCCAATAAAAATAATCTTTGGGATTGAAATCAGGTGAATGTGGAGGCCATTCAATTCTACCTCATCTACCAATCCATCGTCCAGGAAATTTCATCTAAATAACGCCGAACATTTACACCAAAATGAACTGAAGCTCCATCTTGCTGAAACCATATCTGAGTAAAATTGGTCCCAAACAAGTTTCTCAGTGTATGTAGGTACAATTTTATTTCTAAGTAACACTTCGTAACTATCTGACGTTAAATTTCCTTCAATAGAAAATGGCCCAATTAACTGAATACCTAATATACCTGACCATGCATTTAATTTTTGTGATCTTTGAGTATGGTTTTCATGCATCTAGTGTGGATTTACGTCACTCCAGTAGGTACCTTAAATTGTGTCAATTTACACTTGCACACAGTGTAAAGGTTGCTTCATCGGAAAGACATATCCTGTTAACGAAATTTTTATCATTTTCAATTTTATCCATCATCACCTCAGTAAACTCTAATCTACGATCGAAGTTATCTTCACTTAATTCTTGCAATAAGTTAATGTTGTATGGTTTTAATTTGTCCTTACGTAATAAATTAAACGTAAGATTGAAGAACGACCTACATCATGTACTTGTGCAACTTTTGGTGAGGATGTATGTGAATCTTCAACAAAACTTTGCATTATACCTTAAGGTATATAAGGTATGAATGATAAGGATTTCTTATCATTTATAACTCTTTCCGGTCTGCCTAATCGGTATCTATGTTTTAATTCTCCAGATTCTTCAAATCGCCTTACAGTTTTTTGTATAGGTTTATATATGTTTATGAAAAGGAGAACGGTTTGGGAAAGTATCATTGAACAGATTGGCTACTTCACAATACGATCTTTTTTTGTCACCGTACCCTCTTACCGTTAGAATAGTAATAGTCCGAGAATTTTAATGTAACTGGGGTACTGTCTCGATGACTATGGCGTGAACGGAAAGTATTACAAAATCCTCTATGGTAGGTAACGTGTTAATATCGGTGCTGGGGCGTGGGAGAATAGAAAGGAATGAACAGACAGACCTCTTAGCAAAGTTAAACTGGAGAAAAACCTGTGTTAGCCAAGAACTGTTCTATGGTTTCATTTAAGAGGCTTCAAGATATATTCTTGAGCCACGTAACGGTAAATCTATAGAAAATAAACTTATAAAAAGTATTAATATAATACTTTTCCACAGCCCGACAAATCTCAATAAGAAAGTGTCACAAAAATGGTGACTTGGTACTGTCGCCTTAAAAATCACCTATACAATATGAGTGGACTAAGGAAAAAACTGCCATACATGTCATTCGAGAATATGATTCGTTTAGTAAAGTATGAGGCAGAGATGCAACTTCCAGTAAGGAAACTACTGGATTTCATAAAAAGCATAAGACTTCTTGGTAAACTTTAATGGAAGAATAGGATTGGTACAATGGTCAGACGACCAAAGTGCCAGAGGCTCGTTTGTTGCAGTTTTTAGTTAATCTATGATAATCTCTTATTTAAATTAATGAAAATTCCCGTGCGCAGTAACTCACCAAATACAGTAAGTTCTGCAAAAGCTTTCTCACTGTATTGAAGGTTTGTCTGTAGCATTATGATTGACTTATTTAAACATATTTAGGGCAGAAAACTCTATTTGGGGTAGAGACAGAGTCTTTGACCGGAGTTGCCCTACTGGAGTCGCTGTTTAAATTTTTATTTGTGGGTTCACTCAAGAGTCACTCATTTCTGAGTCTTCTTGTGGGCAATATATTTGGTCTCCTCTGCATTTTAATCCAACGAGTTAAGACGAAGTATTATCAAGCACATCAGTTCGTCCATACCCATTGATGTGCTTGATGTGATACTCTATGGAGTATCAAATAAACAACGTTTTTTTTTTTCATGCCATTCATTCTCAACGTTTTACAGCATGAGATTGGAGAGTAAAATAGATGCAGAATACATATCACTGCATGCTGTTTTGGTGGTAGTACTGCTGTTCGTTAATTTGCCGATTGATTGTGGTGTAGGTATGCATGTATGTCATGTTAAATTAACAAATCTACTGTTAATTCCATAGCTGCAGCCGTTATGTCATGTTCTAAGTTGATCTGCAGTTGTTTATTTGATTCCTGATCACACAGTTCCTATGGTCGTTATATATATTTGTTGGACATCTTATACCTACCAAGGATTATACCAATGACTGTTAGCCATTGCAGTTGAACGTTGTTTTTACTCTCATGTTTTTAACATTTGACACTCTCTTGTTCTTTCTGGAATGTTTCACAGGTATCTGGTTTGATTCGTTTTATATGTATCGCTCATTTTGGAAATTTTTTCTTGAATTTTGTGTGTATATATATATTTTTTTATTGAAACAAATAAAACTAAGTTACTATGGTGTTAACACTGAATTTTTCTTTTAGACCAAAACCCAAATTCCGTTACATATTTCTCTCATGAAGCAACTGGTATGTATATAATTGTTGTCTCTAAACTGTATATTTATGTATTATTATGTAGCTTGTGTCCTATCTAAATGTTTAAATGTTATTCAACGATGTTGTCTGTTTTTGTTGCTTTGGACTAATTACATGGTTTTTTGATCACTTGACACATTTCATATATTTCTTAAACATGCAGAGATAAATAATTGGTTACTGTTTAATAAAATTAAACTTAGTTTTAGTATAGTAAGAACAAAAATTAAATAAATATATAATTTAAGATATGCAGCATAGATTTATTGTATTTCGTAGCTAATCAAAATAGTCCCAGAAAATATTTACAAAAAAATACCTCGGAAACAAAAAAAATAACAGAATTTTTGTGAGTTCTTTTCTCTTCTGTTAAACTAATAAACAAAGGATATTATGAATTCAACAGGAACATTTTATCCTGTTGAACTTGTTGGTTAATATTCTAGATTTATTACCGGATTAGTAATAAATAATGGTGAACTGTCAGTTTTAGACAGTTCGGTAATTTCAGTGAT